ACTGGGCACAAAGAGATAAAATGGGCAGAGATAACAAGAACAAAGAACAGGGCAGAGCTGAAATCCCTCAAAGCCTGAGCTGGCTGCTCTGAAGTGAAAGGAGCTGAATGTGCCAGGCTGAGGGGCAGCATCCCAGGAACCGCCTGGGCACAGGAGCAACAGGTTGGRCAAATTCTGCTGGCAGGATCTGCACCTCAGTGCCTGCCTTGGACCAGCTTGGACCCGTCTGACCCAGGACACACAAGATCTGGGCTCCACCCCACGGCACAGCAAAATTATTTGGTTTTTTCGCAAGTAAATCACGTGCAGGGTGAGGCGCCTTTAGAGCAGTTTGGATTAATCAGCCCTGGGAATGAGTGTGTAGAGCAGAGAATCACGGAARGGTTTGGGTTGAAWAGGACCCTMAAGAACATCCCATCCACCCCAAAATGGCAGGRACACCTCCCACTGTCCCAGGCTGCTCCAAATCCTGTCCAGCCTGGCCTTGGACACTGCCAGGGATCCAGGGGCAGCCACGGCTTCTCTGGGCACCCTGTGCCAGGGCCAGRCCCGGGCAGGAACTCCCCTGGAACACCCTGCGAGTTTCCCATGGAGTTCCAACCCCACTTACCAGGTCAGAGAAAGAGCGACAAGCTCTGAGAAGAGCCAGGGCTGGGAAATCGGCTTCGGTCAGAGGATCAGCCATGGCACACCAGCCTGAAAGGAAGGGAAGGTCACAAACACGCGAGAGGAAGGCGAGGGGCRCATCACGGGTGTTTACAACACTTCAAACCATCACATCCCCAAATCTCACTGTGCCTGGCTACTGCAAAAGCAGAGTTTCGTGCTGAAAACGGTCTAAAAGCTTGTGACATCGACTGACAGCGCTCTACGACCCTGACAGGACGCCGGGGCRCCGCCCCAGCCCTGACAGGAAGAGGAGACAGGGTCAGGGCGCAGCATCTCCGCAACCCCCGCGGCACCCCGGGATGCGCGACACCCGGGGCAGCCCCCGYCCCGACCCRTCCCGTCCCGTCCCAGCCGCTCCCGGGCTCCCCCGAGCCGCCATCCCACCCCGGAACCCCTCGGCTCGCCGCTCACGGGTCTCTTCCCACGGGCACAGCCCCGTCCGTGCCGGCTCGCGGTTCCGCCGCGGTTCCTGGCACCGCGCTCCGCCCTCAGGCGGGCCGGGGGCGCGCGTCACCCTGCCGGACACAAACCGGGCAGCGGGCGGGGCGTCCCGGGCTGGACAAGGCGGGCGAGTACCCGCCGCTCCCTCCATCCTGTTCCCATCCTGTCCCTGTCCCTGTCCCTGTCCCCATCCTGTGCCCGTCCCGTTCTCACCTCACCGCTCCTCTCCAGCCCCGCCGCCGCCGCCGCCGCTCCCGCCGCCTCAGCGCACCCCACCCGCCGGACGCACCGCCCATTGGCCGTCTGACGTCACGGGCCCCGGCCAATCGGCGGGCCGTGCGCCTGTGCGCGCGCGCGCGCGTGGCCGGATGCGGGCGGTGCGGAGGCGGATGCGGGGCTAGGGCGCGCCTTCCTCCCCTTCTTCTTCCTCCTCCCCTTCTTCTTCACCTTCTTCTTCCTCCTTCTTTCTTCCTCCACCTCTTCCTCCTCCTCCATTTCCACCCCCACCCGCTTCTCCCTGTCCCTAACCAGGCTCCGGAGAGCAGAGGGGCAGAGCCGGGCGGGGGTGGTGCGATGGATTGAGGGGAGGATGCGGCCCCCGCTCCCGCGGGCACAGCGGGGTCCCCCCGGAGGAATTTCCTGCATTTCCTGGAAAATCTCTAACGCTTCGTATTCTATTCTCCGCCCTCCCCGCGAAGTTAAAGGGAAGAGCTGAGCATGGTTGAGAACTCCCCGGCCCCGTTGCCAGAACGGGCAATTTATGGATTTGCGCTTTTTCTGGGATCGTGGTTTGGCTTCAGTGAGTATCCCGAAACCCAGCGCATCACCCCAAAGTGTTGCTTTGCTGAGGCAATTTCCAGCTGGCACAGRGTGCCCAGAGAAGCTGTGGCTGCCCCTGGATCCCTGGCAGTGCCCAAGGCCAGGCTGGACATTGGGACAGAGGGAGGTGTCCCTGCTATGGCAGGGATGGCACTGRRTGWYCTTYAMGGTCCCTTCCAACCAATTCTATGATTCTCTCAGGTCACCTGAAAGGGATCAAAATCCTGTTCCAGCMCCCTGCCTGCCAGACATGCCAGGTGTTACAAACATCTCTCATTGCCTTCTGTGATTTCCTYATGTTTTGTTTGYCTTGAACCATATTATGGCATTTTTAATAGTATTACGCAGACAAATTATTTGAAAAATTCTCTATGTTCTCATTTTAATCGTTTTTTTTTACTTGGATCACATACATTTTCACATGCAGCACTTTTAATAGTATTACACAAATTATTTGGAAAGTTCTCTGCATTTTCATTTCAATCAGTTTTTCACTTGGATCACATACATTTTCACATTTAGCAAGCACTGGAGGTAGTTGAAATGTTACCTTCCCCACCAAAATACTGAATTTTTTTTTGGTGGTTTTTTTCTTGTTCTGCAGTTCAACTCGGAGTAAATTCATGTCTGTCTCCGTGAGAAATCAGAAATTAAATATTAAAGCAAATTTAAAACCATTCTGCAATCTTTTGGGAGATTTTGGTTTAAAGAGTTAAAAAAGCAAAACTTAGGAAATCTAAACCACTCAAGTCTTACTGTTGTGACTTTTTAATTTAATTCTCTTGTGCAGTTTTGTATCTGATCTGGGCTTACATCCCTGAGGCTTGGCTCTTCTCCTTGGGACTGACRTACTGGCCTCAAAAGTAAGTTCAGCCAATTCACCCCTTTCATCTGAACATGTTTAAGAYACCATTAATTATTCTCAAATATCAAAATTTTTCTTTTTTTAGAAGTGGCTTTGTGTAAAATCCATTTTCCCTTCTTGATGTTKGCAGAGGGTATTTTCTGTAGATCAGTAGCTCTGGTGAAAATATTTCATTGTGAAAGAAATAATACTGGAATGATGCTCTATTTGGCATTTTGCCTTCAGCRAGTTTGCTGATGGAAATCTGGTAAATTTTAAATTTAATTGAAWGATAAACACCTCATTTAAAGGATTTATTAAATAATGTTTTTTACCTGTAGCTCCAGAGTCATTAACCTTGGGAGGGCCCATTAATCTTGGGAGAGGTGCTGTTTTTTTCTTCTGGGACAAATTCATTAAACTGCTACAACATTRAAACTGCTTTATCATTAAAATTTGTAGTTCTGATATTTATATAAATATAAATTTTATCCWCTTTTCCTTCAGGTATTGGGCAGTGGCTCTGCCAGTTTACCTGCTGGTTGCTGTAGGAATTGGTTATATTTTGCTTTTTGGGATTAACATGATGAGCACAGCCCCACTCAACTCCACACACACCATCACAGGTGATTTTACTGCTGTCATATAAGATTTGGATCCTTCACTGATAATTCTGGAAATCTATAGAGAATATAAACCAAATTTTAAGCCTTTAGATATTTGAGTTCTTGGAAGTGTTTGAAGAGAGCAGGGTGGGGTTTTCAGCATCCCTTAAGGTAGCTAAATTTATATTTCAGCATCCCTTAAAGTAAATTTGTATTTCTGCATCCCCTTAAGGAGCTAAATTTTATTTCAGCATCCCTCAAAGAAGTTTATATTTCAGCATCCCCTAAAGTAAATTTGTATTTCAGCATCCCCTAAAGTAGCTAAATTTGTATTTCAATATCCCTTAAAGTAAATTTATATTTCACCATCCCTTAAAGAAAATTTATATTTCAACATCCCTTAAAGTAGCTAAATTTTATTTCAGCATCCTTTAAAGAAATCTAYATTTCAGYRTCCCTTAAAGARGCTAAACTTGTATTTCRRCATCCCTTAAAGTAAATTTGTATTTCAGCATCCCTTAAAGAAATTTATATTTCAGCATCCCTTAAAGCAGCTAAATTTATATTGTTGCATTATATAAAAAGTTTGGAGAGGAAAGGATCTTGAAGACATGAAATGTTCCCATTATTTTTTGTAGATAATTATGCCAAAAAGCAGCAGCAGAAGAAATTCCAGGAGGAGGCAATCCCAGCATTGAGGGACATTCCCATCAGTGARGTCAACAGGATGTTCTTCCTCCCTGAAAAAGGGATCTGCAACAGCAGATAATTGTTAATGAAATCTGTATGAATAAAAAGATTGATGAAACTGTTACAGGAGGACAGGTAAAACCTCTCCAAGCTAAAAAAAAAATAACCCTCCCACCTTTTTTTTTTTCTTCCCCGAATTTCTAATTAAATTTATGTGGCCACATTTTATTATTAAGCACTTTAACAACCTGCATTCTCTGAGAGTTATGCCCCAATAATTTAACTTTAGCTGGTCGTTCTTGGGGGTTGAAAACTGTTCTGTTTCTTGCAGCTTTCTGCTTGGATTTCCCCTCTGAGGGGGAAAAAAAAGCTTTTGGACAGAATTTAGTTCAATTTCCCTTTGAATTTGGGGAAATAAAATATATTGTGCCAGTCAARCCCTTGAGGAGTTTGTTTTTATTATTAATTGGAAATGTTTGCATTGTAAATACACGGGTTTTGTTTGTAAATATCAATAAAATATGGCTGATTTTTACATCTTCRCCATTTTCCTGTGGTTCTGAGAGCTTTCTCCTGGGTTAGGGTGAATAATGGTCCATTTTGCTTCACACAATCTTTTATTCAGCAAAATCTGTTGATCCCCCACCCCCCAAAATGATGAGATTTACTGAATTACCAGCAAAACCAGAAATRAGAATGGTGGGCCGTGAAGATTTGCTGAAACAAGTCTGGAAATCCCTTTTTTAAAACCATTTTTAAGAATACTGAAATCTAAGTTCAAGGAAATAGCAGCAATTCCAGGAACTGACAGGTCCACGTTGTTACAGGCCAAGGTTAAGCGGTTCAGATGTTTTTTTAAACAGTGGATTTTCTTTTATTTTGCTTTATTTCCTTTCTTTCAAGAGTCACAAATTCAGTTACCTGCAGGAGTTGAGGTTATTTAGGCCTGTAACCAACTTCAGCAGAGAGTTCAGTTAAAAACGTCATGATTTTATTAAAAGATAAGACATTTTTGAGAATTTCTGTGAAGAATCTCATGCCAATTCTTCAGAAATTTCTGAAATTARTCATCACTTGCTCTGGAAAGTTGTAAGACCTGCTGATAATCACTTTGGTGTGAATATAAAACYTGTAGTTGGTTGGGTTTTCTGCCTGAATTTGCAAGAAAAATCTCTGTGCTCAGTGTTTCAGGTAGGATTAAAACACCGTTTAAATGAAAGAAAAAACACTTTTCAATATTTCCCTCTAAAATCCTGGATTTTGGTGTTTTATCATTTGATTTTATCAGAATGAGTTTGTGTCTGAGCCTAGTGAGTGTAAATTATTGCAGCACTGATTAGTGTGGTGGCTGTGAGTTATTAATGAAGTTTTGGCGTTCAGTTTGCTGGTTTTTCTCACGGTTTTGTCCTTAATTCATTTTAATTTTCATTTTTAAAAATAAAAATGATTCCCTGCAGTGCGAATCCATGTTTTTTATGAGCAGACATGCAGATGGGTTTAACTTTTGTCATTTTTCTAATCATCTTGCTGGTTTTTCTCACTCCTGCTACTTTTTGTCCTTAATTAATTTTAATTTTCATTTTTAAAAATAAAAATGAATCTCTCCAGTGCAAATCCATGTTTTTATAGCAGACAGGTAGATGAGTTTACTCTTTTGCCATTTTTCTAATCASCTTACGGGTTTTTCTCACTCATGCCACTTTTTTGTCCTTAATTCRTTTTAATGTTTGTTCAAGGAGAACTCTCAGGGTTGAAACTCAATCTTTGCCTCTTGAAAGGCGCCGTGCTGACCTTTTCCTCACCTCGGGCAGGTTTGACACTTTAGAATTTGTCTCTGGGAGCGAAATAAAACCGGGGATAAGGGATTTGGGGAGTAAGGAAGGTGATGTGGGGAATTGGGGATGCACAGGGTCTGGTTGTGGCTGTGATTAAGGGGAAAATCAACTCTGCAAGGAGAAGAGGAGGTTTTGTACGTGGATTTATAGAAATTTTGCCTCAGGTATTCAGGAAAAAAAAATCCCCGACATGATTGAACCGCGGTGTCTTTCTTTACAAAACATYGCTGCTCCAAGGCTGGGTATCAGGTGTCCATTCTTCTCAGAGTCCGGAGGAAAACTAAATAAATAAAAGACAAAAAAAMCCCTAAATTTGCCCTCGTTTTCACCTTTCTGGCTTAGTGGTGGCACAACTGGTGGAGTTCAACTRACGGCATTGTCCCTGCTGGAATAAACCCACAGGTGGAAATTCAGTTTTGCTTTTAAATGCRCCTTTTTGGATTCACCCACAGTTTTTATCCCTCTGGAGACCGGGGGGTGTTTGATACATCTTGCTGTAAACATCACCTTGTGAGGAAGGTTCCCCCGATGGGATTGGAAGGAATGTGTGTGCAAAA